TCAGCGTGGAAATTAGTTTCGCTGAAGAACAGTTCTCTTCATAAACAGGAGATGGCATGTTTACGATTACATCTGCCAAGTCTATTTAAATTTATTACTCACCGACCGGCCTGGCAACATGTGACCATATGGAAGCTGTGTTTTTCTGACGCCCCTATCGGCGAAATCCAGCAGAATCCTGTTTGTCTTAGTGAATCACGTGTGTTAAAGCAAAAAAATACAACGAATTCTCAGGAAACCGTTTTGAAATCTATACTCAGAATGTAGGCTGTTGGCAAACCGCCAAAGTTGAAATTATGCTAATTCTTAAAGGATATTTGGATGCAAACTTCACCCAAACACTATTGTTAGGTATTATTCTATTTGTACCGTTATATTTGCCCAATCAGACATTCTTCACATCCAAAACTAAAATTGCATCGGACTCTTTCACTTTTCTGCAAAAATGGGTATTACAAATCAAAGTAATATTCCCCTCAATATTTTTGTAAGTTTTCAAATCGCTTAAAGTTGCTACTTATTAATATAGCCATTGGGTCCATTTGTTTGTGTTGGTTTGCGAGTTATTAGCAATCAAAGACTCAAAGACTCTCTTACCCCCCTCCCCTAGCCCTGACGACTAACACCCGCCGACCTTCTCATGCGGGCGGCGTGGGGATGATGAGTGCTAGTGACTTAATAGCCCTTGAGGCATTTATAAACACTGTTGATTTTGTACATTTTCATTCGTTCATGTAATTGTATTGGCCTGAGGAAGAATTACCGAAAACGTGCGTTCGCCAACTTGACTTTTCAATTATTAGCAATCATTCATCATTTCCGACAGCTTCCATCAGATAGGTAACCTACTGAGCCTTTTTCGAGCCATTTTTGACGATAATGTAAAGTCCACTGTTTTTGTCCAAATCTGAAAGCCCACAGAGTCCAGAATTATGCGTAATGCATACTAGATGACCATTCAAACGCCTTGAACGTTCGTCTTTGAGCCTAGATTGACAAACTTAAGAGCTTCGGAGTTATAATTTGAGAAGGAAAAAATGATCCACCCGACCAGTTTTAGCACATACTGGCGTTTCGGAAAGTTTGATCGGTTCACCACTGTCAAAACCTTAAATGCACCAAATCGAACAGAAACTCAAAGTACTCTACGAACTTGTCGGCCTGGCGCTGATCGATTTTTTTTCTTATTTCACAGCCCCGACCTTCCGGTGGACATTTGGCGAGCTGGACAACTTCTTACGTTATGAGTCATCACCTCCGTGAGGAGGGGGGGGGGGGCGGGCTGATCGGGCTCCGCCGTGGGTTGTTCGGTCTGGCGACTCTTTTCTCCGCCCTCCCCCTCCCCCCCCCCCGCGAGTTCGTGTTTGCGCGGCTTTCTTAAGTTCTGCGTGGCCCTCTTGTCCTCGCCTCTATGCTCGACATGATTCAGGACATTACGAGCCGTAGAAAGGCGTAGGTGCAGGTTGAAGGAGTCGGCATGCGAATACGATGCCAAAAATGTGTCACTCTGTCCTTCAACTGACAGAACCTAAGATATACCTAACTGCAAACTGCGAGTTTGGGTCTAACTCCTGAGTTGTCAACTTTTGCTCCTGTAGGCGGGTCTGCAATTTTCCTCCCATTTTCCCCAACGCAGCTGCAGCCCACCCCCCCATTGCAAATGCTTTTGTAGACAACTGCTAACCTTCAAGTAAGTGGTGGCGTTTCGAGGAATTACTTCAGGGGTTCTTGTAGGTTATGCCTACCCGGCTGGTTGAAGCAGTCGAGAGGCCGCCTCGGTGACTCCTGTAATGCGGGGAATGGCTCTCTCAAGACCGCGAATAGCTGATTCTCTGACCATCGCCTGTTCCTTCGGAGAGAGAGAGAGGGAGAGAGAGAGAGAGGGGGGGGGGAATTTGCTTCATTTTGAAATCATAACTTCCAAATGTTCAGCAAAAAATTGGTTTCATTCACTATGGGCAGTAAATAAGTTAATAGATTAGTCAAAGTTTAACACAAAAGGAACGATTATTATGAGGACAGTTCAAGTCTTAGCTTCTGTATTTCTATCTCTTCTCACGTAAGGTAGTGCGCCAGGAATGGCAATACAGAAGTTCGAAAGGCCTATGTGCGACAAGACATAAGTCGGAAGCTGCGGCGCATCGGGCAGGGAGACTTCGCAGAAATGAAATCAGAATGCCTGCTTTGTTCGATAAACTGACTTAGGTACTCATCGCCTCGGAAGGGGTTATGAAGATACAGTCGTTCAGCCCTTTCCGATGCCTGGTGTGGTACAATCTGAGACAAAAGATGATTGCTGTTTGAGTGTACTATTTTCCCCATGTTGGCGACTTTCATAAATACTGCAGGTTGCGATTTCCCAGTAGCACATCACTGCACAAGGAGGTCGAGGAATGGAAGCTAGTTGTGTGTTTCGTTCTCCATTTTGAACCGGATGCTCGGGTCATCCGAGTTCAGTACTCCCTTAAGGTGCTCAACAGAGTTGTTTTGATAGCGACGAAAGTGTCCTCGACGTAACCAGCTCAGAACCCTAGTAGATACTTGATGAACACCGAGTGTTCATCCTGTTGACGGACCGCGTCAGTAGCCATGCCTGATGGGTAGAATTTAATGCGTTTGTGATTTTGCATCTACATAACACGCAGAAGAAAAGCAAAAATGGGTAAGGTGTGGTTATGTAGCTCCACCTGATGGACAAAATACTGTTGGGGTTGGGATTAGAGTTAGGGGCTAGGGTTAGGGATCAGGGTTAGAGGTTAAGGTAACTATTTCTCAACCACTCAAAGTATTACCCCGCATTTCCAATAGCTTTTCTTTTGCACACAACTACTTGACCTCGTCGCCTTTGCATTCCCCTGCCCCACCTGTAAAAACCCCCTATTTCCACCGGTCCCGTATTACAGGAGGCTTGGTTTCGTTTATCTCAGGTGCGACTATACAACCACATATGACCCAAACAATGTATAAATAGATGGTGAGGCATGAGAATAGGAGTTCTAACCGTGGTTTAAGTTGATCTCATGTACTTTGACCTCCACAAGCTTAATCCCAACCTTAATCCAGCCCTGCTTCTGCCCTAACCCTTATCTCCATGAGCTCTAGTTCATGACCCCGGAATAGGCGCATTTCTGCTCCACTGTCCTGCCAAATAAACTATCATAAAGCAGAAATACAAGGCGCTTCCTGCCGGTCAGTGAGAGAAGATGGAGGTTTGTAATAAAATCAGGTCATACTTCTGAGTAGAAGGTCTGACGGCAGTATTCGACGTAGCGTCCATTGCAAGAAGACGTGGTCCGGACAATACACTCATTTTGGGGTTTTCGTAGCGTTAAACATTAAACTATTTTGGTCCGATGTTTTACAGAAAGGATGAGGTGAATCTGCTCAGCTGATAGCATTGAACAAGATCTTAAGACCGCCGAAAGTCTTTTTCGTCAGAAGGGGCGCTCTGGTCGAATCATTGCTAAGAACATGACCGAGAGACCACCAGAGTCCCCGATACTGACGGCAGGAAAGAAAAGGCTTTTCATCAGGGTCCCATTTCAAGGGGACGCGCCAAGTGAACTTTTATGAAGACGCCTAACTCAAGCTGTATCACGCACCTTTCCAGCAGCTGACGCCAGTGTACTGTTCTCTACTAGTCCCATCCTATACGGAGAAGGCAAGGACAAACTACCAACTCATACCATCTCTATGTGTATTTACTCCTCCACCTGCTCCTGTGGGGCAGAGCATATTTGTCGCACGAGCCAGAGCTTTTCCAAAAGAGTAAAAGAACATCTTCCAGCATGGTTAGGAAAGGGTCAAACAAAGATAATCAATAACTCTATCCTCGCGCACATGGAGGACACAGACCACTGCGCAGATGCCAGAGAGGCCTTCAGAGTGGTTTGAAAGGTTCCGCCAAGTTATCCACAATCACTTGGACAGCGTCTGTTGACTATGGCAAAGGCTGCTGCAAGCAGGCTACGTGAACCGACCCTTTGCGCACAGAAGAACTTCATACAGGTCTCACATTTGCCATGGCTCAAAGCCACCAAGCTAGCCATCCACAAATAATTACCTTTCACGGGCTCACCTTCTCCCTGGCGCTGACTGGGATTTTTATCTTTCACTCTTCCCCCCCCCACTCCCCAAACCCGCACTACAGCATAATTATCTGCTTGCCCGTACCTTTCGATTCATTAATTTAATAGCCATATATATGTACAGGCCTGAAGAGGTCTTATCGAAAGCAGACCTTCCGAGCACCTGATGCCCGTATACATTTCTCTTCTAGACCCATCCTATATGGAGAGGGCAAACACAACAACAGTTCGGCCGTCGTTGCCGACGATGTCAACCGTGTGCTTCACAGCAAGATGAAACAAACAGGGTGAATTGCGTGTGACTTCTTTTCTAGTGGTAGTAGACTTGTGCTGCATCTATTGCACTCTCTCATCCTTCTCCTCCACCTGGGTCTGGTGTCAAGATAGATTAAAGAAGACACGAGGCGGGAGAGGAATGCAAGTATAACCTACCAGACATTTGCTCCTTAACCTGCTCTTGTGGGGCAGAATATATTGGTCTCACGAGTCAGTGTTCGTCCAAAAGAGTAAAATAGCATCTTCTAAGATTATTCGGTAAGGGTTAAATAAAGAACACTAACAACTCTATCCTCGCGCCCACGGTAGACACAGACCACCGTCTAGATACCAGAGAGGTCTCTTGAGTTATTTACAAAGTTCCATCAAACTATCCCAAACTACTTGACGGCAACAATCAGGATATGCGAACCGGTTCTTTGCTCACAGAAGAACTGCATACAGGTCCCACATTACCGATACAAGCGAAGATGCGAGTTCCAGGAACTAGTTGATCAGAAGAAGAAGCGATCGCTGGAACAAGGTCTTTATTCGCCTGACGTTTCGGACTCTCACTTGAATCCATCATCAGAGACAGTAGCTACATCCCGGTGGAGGGGATGTAATTCAGTCTTTTGAAGATTGGTTGGTCCAGAGATGCCACTTCAGCCCTGTGAGAAAGTCGTCAGGTAATGAGAAGTGACCTTTAGCTGCGTTTTGAAAACATCTTCCACGATTCCAGCGCATAAATAAGTTCTCCAACCTCCTTTAACTTTAGTCAAAAACTGAACTCACTCTCTTCAATGGAAAAGGAGGCTGCAGATGAGCTGCAATGTGGCCTTTATGGCACTACCACTACGGGCGGCACGCCTAGACGCGGCGTGGACCAGGAGGTGTGGCGGAACGTCGAAGTGCAGGCTCGACCGTACCATTCATCTGCTCCCTCGTCCGTCCCCGGTCTTCTTGACTCTGTCTTGACATCGGGTCCAGGTGAGGGAGGAGGAGAGAGTGTGGTAGATGCAGCGCAAGTCTGCTCTCATTATAAATCCGGCGTAAGTCACCGTCCCTGCCCTCACCCTACTGTGAAGCGTACGGTGGACATCGTTGAAAGCGACGGTCGGACTGTCGTGCATACACTAAGCATCGGTTTACACGAGCCTACCCTCGCGTTTTTCGGACTCTGCTTGCCTTAGGAAGCTAACCATATGGCGACAGTCAAATGGGGCTGCAGGACCCAACCCGCCAGTTGAGTGAGTCGATACGGGCATCAGCACTTCTGTGTGATTTTCCAGGATCCACTGCAATTCACTGCGTCAAAGGCCTTCGACAAGACGAAGAAAGTGGTGAGGAGGTTGGTTTTCATTTCCCGACATCTCTCCTGCAGTTGGCGGACTGCAAAGCTCAAGCCTGGTGTTTCGCGATGTATTAGGAATCCGCACTGCGTTTCTGGAAGAAGTTGCCGCTCCAGATGCATATTCAGGCGATTGTGTGTGACGCGGGTTAAGATCTTACCTGCGGTGCTGGGATAAAATATGCATCTGTAATTATCTCAGAGTTGCCAGTACCCCTTGCGTTGGCAGATGTACACGTTGAGGACATCATTGAAGTTCTGAGGGATGCGTCCTAACCACTACTTCTCCCAGAACAAGGAGGTCAGCTATTCGACGAATTGTGGTCGGTCGTATTTGTAGACCTCAGTGGAAAGTGCGTCTACTCCCGGCCCTGATGCTTTTCCATTGAACATCTGCTGCACTGTTCTGATTATCTCAAGGAGAGAAGGCCGACGATCGAGGTGGACGTTGGTGACCACTTGAGGTAGTCGGTTGATGGATTCATCGCATAATGTCGACGGGTGGTTTAGGTCAGCCTGGAAGTGCGCGGTCCAACGCTCCAGGGTCTGTGAGTGTTCCGTCAGAAGGGTTTCTCCGTCCTGACTCATGAATGGTGCAGTAGCCTTGTCTTGTGAACCTTAGACTGTTTTGCTAGCAGCGAACAAACTGTTCGGCGAGGCTTGTTCCTGCAGCCCCACCTGAGTGATGCCACATGATAAGCTTTCTAAAAAAATTTCGATAGATGCGAATACGCTGACTATAAAAAAATCACGTATTTGCATCTCCCTTACCATTTGTAATCCAGCGAGTGACTGTGTGGCGGGGGGAAGGAGTGTTTGTACGCCAGCCTCGTGCGCCTGCCTTCGCGTGGTTCGAGCCCTGATTCCACCACATTTATTATCCTAATCCAGCGAATTGTCAAGTAGACTTGCTAATATAATTGTTCCGACGGTGTGGAACTCTATTGGTTCCGCTACAATGGCCATGCACTGCCAATCACCACGTGGTTCCCTCAGTGGCCTTCCAGATGTGATTGCTCCCCCACCTTATCCTCTTAATCCAGCAAATGACTGTGTCGGGAGAAAGTGGGCACACGCCACCTTCACTCCCTTCCCTGCGCATGCTTCGACCTCTGCTTTTGCTCTCTTCCCCTTCCTACCCCAGGTGGCTTACTTAGGTATGTCAACTTAAATTGATTTAGTAACCTAATCAAGTGCGGCTGCAGAAACCGACTTCGCCAACTATTCATCCCACAACAGTCGACACGCTCCTGAATCACTTCAGATATGCAAGTCAATCAGTCAGCTGTCTAGCCTGTGTTTCTCGGAGAGGAGAATGCGGGTTTCTCTGTCAAGCCAATGCTGGTGCTGACGGCGAGTGCAACCAGGGGCTTCCATTTACATGGCCTAAATTGCATCTCGCAGCTGCGTCCACTGGATTTCGACATTGTTAAGCAGCACCGGAGTTTGCATTTGGGCAACGGAATGCAGAAGGACCCACGTAACGGAAGGCAGACTGTGGATCACGTCATATGGGCTTTTATCTTGGCATCCATTCGCAGGCCTTTGCAGATATTGCACTGATGAAAATAATCACTCTCTATGACTTCAAACCATCACGCAAACTCCTCTATTTTTCAAAATTTACTTTTTGTTTATTTTTAATTTCCGCGCTTATTTCTGTTGCGCACGAAAACGTACGACGAGTCCTTCGGGAGAGCTTCAAACAATTTCCCTGTTTCCCTGCAATTCGTCAGCTTACTGTCTAGTGCGCCGCCCCTCCCGTATCACCAATCACGCATGACACGATCCGCAGTCAACTGACAGTAACGTGGGGTCCCTCTCCATAGCTTTGCTTGCATTTGTTTGAGCTTGGATTTCATGCAAATGTCAAGGTCCAATCGGCCTGACAGATCTCCTATTAGTGATGAATGCTCTGATGTGGAGTGAGGACGGATCTGTAGCCGACAGCCAGCACTAGAATGGCCCCGGCGCCTCTGTCCACTACCCCCCCCCCCCTGCGTCAAGGTCATTTGCCTTTGCAACACGCGAATCCAGATGGGCTGACCTTACAGCCAGACCAACTGCAAAATGTGTACATGCGCACAATTAGACAGCCACAGTCGTTCGCTTCCCACTTGAGCATGCTTCCCCCCACAACTAATGCACGCGCGCCACTTGAACACCAAATACTCTTGAGTAGTAGTCAACTTGGATCAGCTGACCAGCAGCCTGGGAGTCATCCGACCGTCGACGCGGACCACAATGAACTCCACAGTGGATCTCCAGGGCTGATCTGGTCTCCAGCTGGCTGTAGGACTACCTTAGGAAGCGTTGTGGGCTCAAAGTCAACGGGAAACTGAAGATGAGCCGAACAGCCATTCTGGCAACTTCGCTATAGGGGGCCGGAGCCTGGAGGGTGTGCTAGAGCCGAGCGAGGAAACTCAGGTATTCTGGCCTCAGCTGCTTCCTCTGAATAATGATAGCTCGACCGTCGTGTCCGATGATGTCCAGGCACAGTGAACTGCGCGTGAAGTAGTTTATAGTGAGCGAAGACTTGCGCAGCGTCCACCGCACTCTCTCTCCCTCCCCGCCTATGCCGGGTGTCAAGATATATTCAAGAAGACTGGAGGTGAGGGAGGGCGCTGGTGGCTGGCAAGACCGGGCCCGCACCTGGCCGCACCACAACACCCCCTGGTCTACAGCAAACACTTGACCAGGATTTTAACCAACAACAACAGCACAACGGATCAGTATCACGGGGAGGATGTCTGGGTAGCCATGCTCACGACCCGTATACCCAGTGGGAGCGCAAGCGCATCTGTTGTCGACAGCCATCATGGCTATGTTTTGTGTCCTTGTTCAAAGTCTCACTGCCTTAAGGTCATTCATGTCCTCTCAGTGAGCCGTTCCAGACGTGCTGACCGGAAGTTTCACGACAGAATCCAGCTCGGACATACCTGCATCCACACAGTCTCAGCTGCCCATGCGGTCGCGTGAACGCCCCATCCCTCTGCAACCACAGTATAAGCCACTTAAACACCACCCCTCGGCGAATATAACACATCAATAGGATACCCCCTTACTTTGCCCCACAAGCCTACAAAAGAAGTTGCCACCACTCTCTCGTGGGACTCTCGGGCATGGCTGGATACAGTCAGCACCAGCCCTGGCTTCGCCGGCGACCACTGTCGCCTGAGAGGACAACCCCGAGTTCTGTG